TAAGTTCTTCCTCTTGTGCCTCATTTATATGAGATAATTGATTTTTTTACTTTTTCCTACACAATTTTGCTTTTCTAGATTCACCACATCATACTCAGCTCTTCCCTGATCTTTCTTTTGAACTACCTAGTTACTAATGACAATTTTAAGCATACAGTTTATATTTTCACATATAAAAAATAAACAACATGTCTTTAATGAATCCTTTGTGATTGATCTTTGATGTTTACCTTATATTTATCCTGGATCTTATATGTCAAATTTTCTATTAAGTTCTGGTCTTTTTGCAACAAAATCCTGAAAGTCTACCAATTCATTGAATGCCTTTTTTTTTTCATTAAGGATTACACTTAACTTTGCTGGTAAGTTATTTTTGGCAGCAACCGCAGTTCTTTTACTCTTTGATATATAGTGTTCCAAGACCTGTGGTCTTTTAATGTAGCAGCTGCTAGATCTCATGTAATTCTAATTGTGGCTACACAGTATTTGAAGTGTTTTTTCTTTTTTTTTTCCTTGTTACTCATAATATTTTCTCCTTAACCTGGAGGTTTTGGAATTTGACTATAATATTCCTGTAGGTTTTCATTGGGTGGTGATCAGTGTATTTTTTTTTTATTATTATTTCTTCTTTCCTTTCTTGCTCTAAAACTTCAGGGCAATTTTCTTTAATTATTTCTTGTATCATTGTATCAAGATTCTTTTTTTGATTGTAGCTTTCAGGTAGTCCAATTATTTTTATGTTTTCTCTTCTTCATCTGTTCTCCAGATCAGTTGTTTTTCCTAAGCTATTTCACATTGTCTTCTATTTTTCCATTTTTTTATTTTTTATTTTTTTACTTCTTGATATAACATCATTTGCTTCCTCTTGCCCAACTGTAGTTTTCAAGGAGTTATTTTCTTCCTTGAGATTCTGAATCTCCTTTTCCAGTTGGTTGACTTTCTTTTCATAATTTTCTTGGTTTTCTTGTGTTTTCTTATGTTTTTTTTTCCTAATTATTCCTCAACCTCTCTTATTTGATTTGTAAAGTCCCTTTTAAATTCTTTCTCAAACTCTTTTTGGGCAGGTGACCATTTGATATTACTCTTTGGGGAGGAAAGACTTTTTTTTTTATTCAGTAGCCTTCTCATAAAATGAACCCCAGTTTTCTCTATTCCCATAGTAGCTCTATGTTGTTGGGTTCTTTTTTCTTTGCTTGCTCATTTAAAAAAAATTAGCAGCTTGTTATCATAATCACTTCTAATCCTAGGATGTCAATGATGGTGCCTCTGGCCTCAGGTCCTTCTTGTGGTTATTTTTTTAAGCTTTGTCCAGGGCCCAACCTCTGCAATCCTTTCTCCCTCCAAGCCAGGGACAGATAGGGCCTCCAGGCACAATATGCTGGAAATGCTCTTGCTCCCTGAGGACCTTCCATTGGCTGTAAACTTCTCCCCTCTGGCCTGGAACTGAAACCAAGAAATCAGCTCTCCCCTCAGACCCTGTCTGAGAATTCCTGTGTCTGAGGTTGAGGCTGCCTCCCAATCCAGCTGCCCCCAGGGCTTGTTGTTTGTTGTTTCAGCATAAATCAGGTCTTCTCCAGTTGTCCCAGAAGGACCACTGCTCTGCCCTGCCCCAATTCTTCTTTATTTTTGCCACCCTACATTCACCCTGAGGTGCTACTTTATCTTGTTTGTAGAGGAAATCTAAAGAGTTTACAATTTTCTGACCTACTCTCCCATCTTCCCAGAATCCCCTCCCTCTATTCTTTTTAAACTTAAATACAAAAAAAAAGAAAAGAAAAACCAAAAAAAAAGCATTTCCCTCTGCACAGCAGAACATAAGAGAGGATTCAATGTACAACAACAAATTTCCATTTCAAGAAAACCTATATAATAAATACTACACATGGTTTTCAAAGCTAACCAGCTCTTCTTTGCTTCCCTGTAGGTTTTTTGTTCTCTGCTGTATACTTTTTAACTTTATTTTTTTCTGTCCCTCCTCTTCCCATTCCCCAGTCCTCCTGCCCTAAAGAAGGCTACAATTAAATGTGGATATGTATATGCACATGTGTGTACACACATATGTACATATATGCATATGTGAATATATACACAGACATAATTATCTATAAACATATACATATACACTTATAACACCTATATGTGACCATACTGTGCATATTTCCACTTCTTCATCTCTTTCTCTGAAGGTGGATAGCATCTTCCTTCACAGGTTCAAGTCTTTCCACGTTTTTCTAAATCAACCAGCTCATATTTCCTACATCACAGAAGTATTCCAAAACAATCATGTCCTATCTGAGAAGATTGTCTATGAAAGTTTTTTTTTCCAATTTTCTGCATTCTTTCTGTTCTTGGCTACATTGGTTTTATTTATACAAGAATTTTTTTTATTTAAAATAATTGAAATCATCCATTTTATACTTAAACAATGTTCTCACCTTGTAATACATTTTAAGGTCTGATACTGCTGAATCTCCTTCCTTTACATTCCCCCCCCATTTCTCTGAAATTCCTGCCCTTTTGTTCTTCCAAATGAACTTTGTTATTATTTTTTTAACTCAGTAAGATTCTTTTTTAGTAAATAAATTGTGATGGCATTGAATAAATAGATTAATTAGTTAAAATTGCCCAGCACAAATTAAGAATACGGTAACTGTTAGCATGATAAGATGGATTTCAACATGTGTCCTACAAAATAGAAGTCTAAAGTTTGAGGAAGAAGGAATTTCATGTGTCCTACAAAATAGAAGTCTAAAGTTTGAGGAAGAAGGAATTTTGAGAAATTACTCAGACTGAGACTAAAACTTGGATTTATATCTTCTCTTTAATAAGCTGAATATGAAATTTTTTCTAACCAAAGTGAAGAGGTTTAGAGGTTTGGGGTGCTGGAACCCCATGATCACGACGTGGGCCCTGCTTAAATAAATTCAACTCAAATTTTCTTCCAGCCAGAGAAAAAGTTTATTAGAGATAAAACATATAGGCCAGATTCTTAAGGAATCTGCAGGTTAGTAATGCCAGTAGAGACCAGCAGGCATGAGAAAGTCTCAACCTTTTGTGCATGAGAGAGTCTCAGCATTTGAATGGGGGCCAGAGTGGATCTTATATACACTAAAGTAACTTTGGGTGGCCATAGGATGGGTCTGGGAAAAGGGTCTAGATAAGAATTGCCATTGGAAGGTCTGAGAGATTGAATAGACAATGGGAATAGATAATGAAGGGAACTGGAAGGCATCTGCATAAGATCAAAAGTGGGGCTAGGGCTTTCAAAGGGAGATAATGGGAGTAGATAAGGAAAAGTTTAAGGGTTTTCTGGAGCCGCAGAAAAATGGGAGCCAAATTCTTTTTGGTGAAAGGAGCTGAGATCTCAGCTTCTGAAACTGAATGATGGGCCCATATCCCATCAAAAGGAGTGAAGAAAAAATTCATTGGCATTTATGCCCTTTAGGATAGTTTCTTTTTCTCTCTTAAGGTAACAAATTGAGAAAAGGTAGATGAATATAAGCTCCAGATAAAATTTAGTTTCAAGAAGAATAGCATGTACCCACTTCTGGCTTCTCTATGCCAGAAATATTGTTGGAAGATTAGAAACAAATTACCTATATTTGTGAAAGGTGATAAGTTTTCTAGATTTTACTTGACTAAAGAAGAAATAGTAGGAAAAAAAGGCACTGGAGTTAGAGTCAGAAAAAACTTGGTATTGAAAACTATCTCATACACTTGTTAACTTTGTAACTCTGGGCAAGTAATTGGAGCTTTACTTCATTCATCTATAAAATGGAGATAATGAAAATATCTCTGTTACAAAGTTATTGTGAAAATTAAATATATGTAAAATATTATATAAATATCATCATTGCCATCATTATTGATTTAACTCTTTTCGTAAAAGTCCATGATGAAATGTTGGCTCTTAGCTTGGAAGCATCCCAAGCAATGAGAAGTTTGTAACTGTACCTTAAAAAAGATGATGAGCTAACACATTTCAAAGAATGCATCTATATCTCCAAAATAAATTATTCATTTAGCAAATATTTATTAAATGCCTAAAGCATAGATTTAATCCTCTATGCTAGTGGCTGAGGACATAGATATATGCTGCAAGATGATAGAATTTAGAATTGGAGAAGCTTGCTCATAAGGTCTCATAGGGAAAAATATGCAAAAATGATTCTGAAATAAAGGAGAATGATAAAAGTGCAAGAGAGGCCCAGCCAAAGAGCTACAAGAAATTTGGAAAGGGAGAGGTACATTCACCAGGAGGGTTTAGGGAAGATTTCTTTGAGGAGATGCTCCTGAGTTGGAACTTTATGAAATGGAGACTTAAATAGGGAAGGGGTATATATTCCATGCACAGGAGACTGCACAAAGGCATAGAGATGGGAGAACGAAGCATAAGAAGAGAGGATGGAGAGATAACTTGCTTGTAACTTAAGAGTTTGATAAGTTAGAGCAGTATGAATTAAGTCTGAGAGAAAGGGATCAAATTGTAATGTTTTCAATGCATTATTTGTACTTTGAGAAGCAATGGGGAGCCCCTGAAGATTTTTGAGTAGAGGAGTAGCATAATCATAGTGGTACATTAGGACAATTATTTAAGAATCAGTGTGAAGGATGGAATGGAGAGAGGGTAAATTAGAGGCAGGACCTAGAGGCAGGAAGACTGATGGGGGCTATTAAAAGTCTGGGTGAAAAAAAATCAGGCCCTGAACACAGGTGGTAATTGAGAGGAGGGGATAGAGATATTGCCAAGGTGGAAACAGTAAGAGTTGGTAAATATTTGGATTCATGAAATCAAGGATCATTGTCATTATCAGTGAATGGTTACTATATTTAAAGATTACTAGAAGAATGTAAAACAATATTTTGCTTGATTTGATTCTCTTGTCCAAAATCTAAGATGAATTCAGTCTTGCATAGGATAAAAGTGGTTTTAGTTAGCCTTTTTGTGATTATGCATGCTAATAAAGGGTGGTATTTTATTTTCTGGTCCCCATTTATAGGTGGAATTAACATTAAAATGGACTCTACTTCTCATGAGTTGCCTGTGAGGACTCTGGAGCACATTGCCTCTACGCTTGGATGCAATCTGACCGATGAGAAGCTTGCTTTGTACCTGGATGAACAGGATGAGCTAAAGCACTTCCAAGAATGTTTCCATATTCCAAAAATGAAGGATCTACCTTTAAGTGAGAAATACAATCAATGGGGAAGTTTTTTATCTTCTGCATATGCTTATTATCATGCATTAACATGGGAAAGATTTATGATTTCTTCAGCATAGAGAACTCTCAGTATGGGAACACCTTCCACCAATGCAGATTACAGTTCTTTGTGACACAGGAGATGAATTCTAGGGGTTAAATGACTTGCACAGGATCATATTGCTTGTAAGTGTGGCAACTGAACCCAGGTCTTCCTGACTCAAAGTCCAGCTCTCCTTCTATCGTGACACGCTTCCTTAGGGTTTTACACAGAACTTTGGAAAATATTGAAACGTTGCATAATAGATCCATTGCAGTCATATTTGAGAGCATCAGGTCTCTAGTGCTACCAACTAAATCAACCTATCAGTCTGTCTCAGCCCCAAATGCTTTATGTTCACATTCCTCTTTTGAGAAATATTCTAAAGCATAGTACTTTACAAAGTGCTTGTGCTGTCACTTATCTTCTTTGAACAATATAGTGACTGATTGAACATTATAGGCAGACACATTTCCTTTTAATGGATTTAGACTGTAATGTCTTTAAGTACTTATAGCTCAAGCAATTACTTTCAATACAATATATTTTAGCATCTTCTATTTGGTTTACTCAGTTGATGGTAGTATTGTATTTTAAGTGAATTTTATTCTGGTACCTCCAGCTTCTGTTGAGAGAGGGGATATGTGATTATATGTTTCTTCATGTGATGAGGGTAAAGGAATTACATATATACTGGAGAATAAAGAAAAGATGATGTCTTGGAAATGCTCTCTGAAAAAAATCAACATTTTCTAAGAGACTAGCAATGACATTGGTTATGGGAACTTCTTAAAAATAATATATAGGAAACATAAGGTGTCATTTTTCATACTTGATTTTATTCAACTTCAAATCATTGAAGATGACTGCATAGATTTAATTGAATTCTCTTCTGGAAGTGTTGATTTCAATGGATATCATAGTGGGCATTTCTCATTTTCTCAATTGATGCAAATGCAAATTTGTAGGCCCTAAGTAAGGAAGGTGGGGATAAGAGGTATTATTTAACCGGATAAGGTGATGAAGTTAAGTTAAATGAAAATGCTGCCAGGATATTACTCTGCTATTTTAACTTTGATTTTAACTTTCTGTCCTTGGTGAGATAAAATAATCCTTAGTGGTTTGGAATTACATTCTTGTGTCATTTAGAAGTGGAAATTTATTTTTGTTTTGCATTGATTTGATAATTTCTAAGATTCTTCTAGTTCTAAAATTCTGAATTCTATGACTAAACTTATTGAATTAATTCACATTGTTTATCATCTAATGCATGTAAAGCATTTAGCACAATGCCTGGCACATAGTAAGTGCTACATAAATGTTAGTTGCTGTTACTACTACTACTACTACTACTACTACTACTACTACTACTACTACCATTACTATATTTTTAGGAATTTCTGTTTAAAATAATTGAATGTGTAAATTAGCGAGAGCTGGAAGGAAAGGAACTCTGAAATCATAAATCAGACAAATTTTAGGTGGCAGGTATTTTATTGAATTAGATCTTTCCTTGTCCACCTCTCTCCTTCCAGATTTTCCCCTTGGAACCTTTTTGGAAAATGAAGACTTTATGTCTTTCTTTAATACTATAGAACAGAGATGTCAAACTCCTGTTGGCCATAGGCAGCCTATGAAAGTTCCCTGAGGCCGGAACCAGATTAAAATGTAATCAGGAAATGTTTTTTAAAATAAAAATAAAAAAATAAAAATATAACACAATATGGTCAATTTGTTGTCTTCTAAGTCAATATATGACCCACTGGAATCCTTTCTATAAGAGTGAGACACCAATGCTTGAAAAGACACTAAAGAAGGTAAAATACCTTTGTTTCACTATGTGATTTCATTTGTTCTTAAGTTTTTGCCAGTTTTTTTTTGTAAAATGTCAAAAACAAGAGATGTGGGGCAGCTAGATGGCCCAGTAGATAGAACACCAGCCCTGGAGTCAGGAGGACTTGAGTTGAAATCCAGGCTGAGATACTTTGTAGCAGTGTGACCCTGGGCAAGTCGTTTAGCCTTGAGTGCATGCGCAGGCACACACACACACACACACACACACACACACACACACACACACACACACACACACAGATACTAGGTTCCTAAATTTCAGCCCTTTGTAATTAAAACAAATTTTAAAATTATAAATAATTCACTTATTTAATCTAAAAGTACTATTTGGATAACCTATAATTTAAATACATTTTACCTAATATAATTTTATGATCTAATCAGATTATGCATAATATATCACCTTTTTTCCTAAACTGACAAAATGCATTTAGAAACATAAAAATACTAAAAAGTTTGCATATATTTTAATTTTCCTTAAAATCTATTGTGATTTTTTTGAAATGAGAGGTAGAAAGGAAGCACAAGCAATTTAAAGCATTATTTTTATCACCATTACACAATTTTCAGAAACTTATCATCTGTATTTACACATTTGTTTTCTCACAAACTGCTTTGTTGATTGCAATCTGAACATACTATCCAGGAAAAAGCTACACAGAAAGGAGTTTTTAGATCATTACTTCTTTCTATCTTTGATTAAGCCACTAGAGAAATCTTTTTTCATATAAAAATATATTCTTATTCATATAAAAATATATTCTTAGCTTCTACAACTCATCCCTTCTGAGGAAGGAGTAAGTTAAGCAAATGATGAGTTTAAAGAGACAAGCCAGAACGGATCTGTCTGAGAGATGCTAGACATCCCCATTTTCTATTTCTCTAACCCTTACTCCTTTTCTGAGAAGGCCTCCACTGTGATTTCCACCTCTACCACCAATGGAATACAGGCAAGACTAAGGTTGTTATTTTTTCCTCTAAATCTGCAATCTCTTCTAACTTAAGCCACTATTTATCTAGTCATTCATGTTTGAAATTTCAATGTTCTATCTTTTCTACTCCCCTGTTCTTCATCTTTTATATTGATTCCCCACATATTGAATCCTTTTTATTTAAGTCCTGGCAATTCTGTCTTCTGTTCCTTTCCATTGTCTCCCCCACCAGACACACACCACACACACACACACACACACACACACACACCCTAGTACCATACAAACTGTCATTATTACCTACCTGAGTTACTATAGTAGCACCTATACTCTTTCCCCAATTTAATCTATCATTCATATGCCTGATTGTCTTTATATACGTAGATATGACCATTTATTTAGCTGCTAAGTAATTATTAAGCACTACGATGTGCCAGGCACTATGTCGGGTGCTAAGGTAGGGAAGGCGATAGGGATTAGATCTGTGCTTTACTTGATATAGGGCACACTCATGTGAGGAAATTCTCTTTACCAGTGCAGGTTAGCTCCTTATCTGTTAGAGAGAGCACTGGTTGGTTAAATGACCTACCTAGTCACATAACTGGTATGAGTCAGAGGCAGCACTGGAAGCTAGGTCTCTATCCGTTATTCCATACTGCCTCTTAATACAAGGAATAAACAGGGAAAAAGAAAACTGTACCTGATTGCTAGGAGCTTACATTATATGAGGAAGAAGTAACATATACAAAGACATGTCAGTCAACTAGCATTTTTAAGTGCTTACTATGTGCCATGTAGTGTGTTGAATAGTAGGTATACAACAATAATAACAACAGCAACAACTAATCAAAAGACATCTGCTCTCAAGGAGCTTACAGTCTAATGAGGGAGACAAAATGCAAAAAAAAAACAACCCAACTATATATAAACACAACATGTTCAGGATAAATTGAAGATTATCAACAGAGAGAAGGCACTGGCCTTGGGAAATATTAGGAAAGTCTTCTTATGAAAGTTGGAACTTTAGTTACAACTTGAATGAAGCCAGGGAAGCTAGAAGGCAGAGATGAGGAGAGAGGGAATTCCAGGAATGGTGGACAGCCAGTGTAATGCTTGGAGCTAGACGATCAAGTGCTGTGTCTGAGAAAAAGAAAGGAAGCCAGTGTCACCGTATACCACAGTACCTGGGGAAGGTACAAGATGTAAGGAGACTTGAAAACTAGGAAGGGGCCAAGTTATGCAGTTTTTTATTAGTCAAGTAAATGAAAAATAGTTTTGTGGGAATCCCACTGAGAACCAAGGAAATCAAGAAAGGCCTCTTTTTTGGAGGCCTTTTGAGCTGAATGAGCCTTGAAGAATAGGAGGGATTTTAAGAAATGAAGGTAAGGAGAAAGGGCATTCCAGCTAATCAATAAATAAGGATTTATTAATTGCCTACCCTGTCTCAGGCACTGTTAGGTACTAAACATACAATGATAAAAATGAAATGTTCCCTACCCTCAAAAATGCCTTCGTTCTAGAGACAGGAAGACAACATGTACAAATGTAACTACATACAAAATAAATACAAAGTCATTTATTTGCATTTAAAGATACTATTCTGAGAAGGGGTCCATAGGTTTTAGCAGATTGCCAAAAGGGTCCATGACACACAAAAAGGTTAAGAACCCCTGTTCTGTGATATGTCACATGGTGATCTTATCAGATCCTGGAGTTCAGTTATCATCTCTATGTAGATGATTCCCAGATCTATGTATGCAGAGGCAGCTAGTGGTGTAGTAGATAGCACACTGGACCTGGAGTCATGAAGACCTGAGTTCAAATACAGCTACAGAGCTTACTCGCTATGTGACCCTGGGCAAGTCACTTAAACTCTGTTTGCCTCAGTTTCCTCAGCTGTAAAATGGAGATAATGACATTACCTATCATGCAGGATTGTTGTAAGGATCAAATGAGAGAATATTTGTAAAGTGTTTAGCACTCGTAGGCGCTACATAAATGCTTAATCCCTTCTTTTTCCATCCCTCATTTCCTTCCTTAGCTCCATTTCCAATCATAAACTTCTTTTTGATCATCACAAACTGGATTTCCTGGAAGCATCTCAAACTGATTAACTCATTAGCTTTTCCTACAAACCTTCTCTTCTTCCCAATTTTCTT